AGTACAACAGTACCACATTACTATAGTACAACAGTACAACAGTACTACAGTACCACATTACAACAGTGCCACATTAAAATAGTACAACAGTACAACAGTTCCACAGTACAACAGTACTACATTACAACAGTACAGCAGTACAACAGTACCACAGTACAACAGTACCACATTATTATAGTACAACAGTTCCACAGTACAACAGTACAACAGTACCACATTACAACAGTACCACATTACAATAGTACAACAGTACAACAGTTCAACAGTACAACAGTACCACATTACAACAGTACAGCAGTACAACAGTACCACATTACAACAGTACAGCAGTACAACAGTTCCACAGTACAACAGTACAACAGTACCACATTACAACAGTACCACATTACAATAGTACAACAGTACAACAGTTCCACAGTACAACAGTACTACATTACAACAGTACAGCAGTACAACAGTACCACAGTACAACAGTACCACATTACAACAGTACAACTGTACCACAGTACAACAGTTCCACAGTACAACAGTACTACATTACAACAGTACAGCAGTACAACAGTACCACAGTACAACAGTACCACATTACAACAGTACAACTGTACCACAGTACAACAGTTCCACAGTACAACTGTACTACAGTACTATGTTCCATGTCCATGACATAGGTCTGCTCATACCATAACCCCATCTCCGCCGTGGGCCACTAGATCCACAACACTGACGTCAGCAAACTGTTCACCCACAAGACGCCACACACTGTCTGCCCTGAACAATGAAACCAGGATTGATCCGTGAACAGCACACCTCTCCAGTCTACCAGACACCATTGAATGTGAGCATTCAAACTGGGGCTCTCATCTCCACACCAGTTCATGTTCCATCCATCTAAACTCCTTGTCCAGCAGTATTTGATCACTTTGAGCCCATCTCTCTGTCCCACTTTGAGAAGCTGTTTTCCAGCTTAAAATCATCTGGATCCCCCTTTGATACAGTTCCCCACTGACTTCTAAAAGAGATCTTCCCCACTCTGGGCCCTTCTATTTAATATTATAAACAGCAGCTTAACTTCAGGTGTAGTCCCACAAAGTTTTAAACAGGCAGCCGTGCAGCCCCTCCTGAAAAGACCCTTCCATAGTGTCTAACTTTAGGACCGTCTCCTAACTGCCATTTCTGTCAAAGCTGCTGGTRAAAGTAGTAGACACTCATTTAAAACCTTTCTTGGAGGATCACAAAACTTTGGAGACATTTCAGTCAGGCTTCAGRTCCCCTCACAGCACTGAGTCTGCTCTGTTGAAGGTGTTTAATGACATCTTTCAGCCCTAGACTGTGGTGAATCTGTCCTCCTTGTGCTGTTAGACCTCA